CCGCGTGTGTTAGCAAGTTTTTGCGGACTCCCTCTGGATGGGGAGGAGGCTGGAGGGGAAGGTAGTCTGTTAAAAAGCAGAGACGTTCACTTCATGTGGCTTGTCGGTAGCTCCGCTTCGGTGTGGGGGACGGGGTACCTGCCTCATGGGCGGCCGGGTGGGACTAGGGATTGCCCCGAAAATGGTGTCCCGGCAGGCAGATGTTTGAGCACCCGGAGAAGAACCATGGCGAAGGAAGTCGTGCTGAAAGCGATCTAAAGAGGTTAATTTCCAGAGAAGGGCCGCCCTTTGGCTTCTCATACAGAAGCTGGAAGTAGAGGGGAAGAGGTCTGTGTTTGGTGTTAGCGGGGCCACCGGCTGCCGAGCGCTTGCGGGACAATGCGATGATACACATTTGCGTGCGCTGCCCCATAGCCAGCGCCGTCTGCAAGGAAAAAGACAAGTTACGGAATTCCAGGAAGGAGGGGAGGATGTTTGACAGAGACCACCGAGCTTTCGCAGACGGGATTTTGTGCAATCAGAGGCAGGTTGCAATGAAAAGTTAAACTATTTTTTCCATGGTCCGTAATTTCCAATCCCGTCTACTTTAGAGCAAAGTCACCCGACACATCTGTCCCTCCTCACTCAGAGCTGGACATTATTTTTTCCTCACCAATGGTTCTTTTAATCGTGAGCTATTGATTCGAAGAGACTGTCCTAATCTATCCCTCTCTTAGTGCAGCCGACAGGTGGAATTTCACTGTATACACGTACATTAGAAAGCTATCTGTTTCGTCTAGTGGTTGCTGAATAAGCAGACGTGACAGTGTTTATTTTACGAAAAGAAAACCCAGGGAAGACACCTCATTTATTTTGATTGTGTGTATTTCATGTATTTCGTGTATACAGGTGTGCATGTACTCAGCTGTTATGAAAATAGAGAAGCAGACCTACGACCACCGCGGTACAAAGAGACATATACCTGGGTTTTATGAAGACTTTCCAAAGCCTAGGAATTTGCCAGAGAGATCACTGCAGTGCTACAGTTGCTCGGGAAGGTGGCATCACTGGGTGAGGGGCACACGTGTCTGAACGTACACATGCGTTTCGATGCATGCAAATGGTTTTCTGTTGTGCGGAGGGGATAGAAATACCTTCGGATTAACTGTCATTAAGGCTTTCCCGCTCTTAGAAAACGAATTAATGCAAAAGCTGAATTATCTATTTATCCTTTTGCTTCCAACATAAATTGTATAATTTATCATCTGAATATGGGGCCCCGCAGACATCTGCATGCCGTTTGCTCCATCAGGGAAAGAGAAACTCAGAATCAATTCAACAGGTCTCTTATGACTTGGAGGAAGGGCAAATTTAATTATTTTGATTGAAAAAAATCCTCAACTTTCCTTCTGAATTCAGCTCAGCGGTACAATTTCTGAAATTGGAGAGACTCAGCACTTAAAAAAAAGAAAAAGGAAAAAAAAAGTGCCTTTCGTACACTCCAGTCCATATGTTTTTCTAGTTTTTGTGCACTCCGAGGCCTAGCCGGTAGGTTCCTCCGTGGAGCAGAGCGCAGCGTGTGCCTCTCTGTCCCTCGCCGCGACAGTCCGCGGAGCCGGAGCTTTGCACTTAGAACACATCTTCTTACGATGTGTAGCTTCCGTGTGCCTTACGCGGTGATTCTCGCTGAGACGCCGCCGGGTGCCTCCCTGCTCCCACGGGCAGAGCACCGCCGAGGCCGCGGAAGCCCTGCGCCGCTGCGCGGTCGTGCACAGCCCTCGGTGCCACCCACGCTGCTGCAGCCGGGCTGATCTGAGGTTGCTGAGGTGTGTACCCTCCAAACCTCACAGCCTTTGCCTCTGTTCTTCTGGAGCGTGCCGGGAACTGAGCGGCGAGCTGGGCCGGGCGGCGGGGAGGGGTCCGGCGTGGCTCCAGGGCCGGTAGTTCACAGCACACCTTCGGGCGGGGGCCGGCGGTGGGGACCAGAGTTGTCCTGCAAGTGAAAAACAGAAACGAGAGGTTTACCGATTTGGGGCTCGCCTGCATTTCTCTACCTGTCCCCAAAATCGACATGCACCATCTGCATAAAGATGGCACTGAGATTAAAGAGGCATTGAGAATGGTTGTTGCCGCAGCATGGATCCGGCAGCAGCTTGTTACCTTCTGGAGTGCCATTTGCACACACGTACACACACATACACACACATACACACACATACACACACATACACACACATACACACACACACACACTTGTGGCGAATGTCTCCTAAACATCTTGGTCGTGTCTTGCAGGGCAAGAACGGGCAGAGAGCAGAGAGCTCACGGCGGCTGCTCGACGTGGCTCTCACAGTGGGAGCTGCAGAGCAGAAAGGACTTGTGGAGAAGGGTGTAGAGGCACTGAAATCACCTGCGGCAGATCATCAGAGCCTGGGGGTGAGAGGCGGCGGAGGCCGAGCAGACACCTACCTGCTCGTGATGCGCCCGGCTGCGAGCACAAGGCGGCCGGTTCCTGCCCGTACCCGGATTTCAGTGGTGCGTGTGGCCGGCGCCAAGTGAAGTGGGAGGAATACCGCTGCGGATGAGGGAGCCACTGGCAACAAGCTGAAAAACGGATCTACATTGGTTAGCAAGTTCCAGAGTGGGGAGCGTTTGGCCACGATCATAATTTCCATTATTTGTGTCAAATACAATATTATCAGAGACTACTGCAGTACTTACTGTAAGTACTGCGGGAAAGTATTGCATACAGAGTGGAATCTCTGGGCCGTGCCAAGGGACAGTTAAACCAGATCTACTTTCCAACAGATCCCCCGCAGAGGCCTCACTGTCGATGGGGGCGACCGTGCGGTTTGCCCTTGCCACCAGCGCCGAAAGAAAGGGAGCAGCTGAGAGCAGGTGAGGGCCTCGCACCCCACTTGCATCCTCCGGAATCGGGGATGGAGTTGGTCCTGGATACTTGAAACGAGCCTACAAAGACGAGGTGTGCACCAGTTGAGACCTCGCTGTCCCCAGGGGTGCCTCTCACGGCACCAGAAATACAAACAGGACCAAAGGTGTGGTCCGAAGGAGCTGCGGGTGGGGAAGGTTTGTGAGGAGTGCAACTTTAGGGCCGGGGATCTGTGCACGGGGGGCTCGGGGCTCGGCCGGATACCCAGGCTGTGCTGCTCGCCGCAGCCCACGCCGGTGATGACCGAGAGGGCACCATGTCGGGACCCTCTGTACAAGGCAGCGGGAATGCTCCGGCAGGAAGGGCACAGCGTGCAGACGTGCAAGCTAATCATCTTTGAAACCGGGAAGGGGAAACCTCTTTTATAGGGGATGTGGGAAGGGACTTAACACAGTCCTGCTTGAGAGAAACGTTATACAAGATGCTTGAAAAGAAATATTTTTTTTAAAACCTAATTAAAAATATATAAATCACCCATCAGAAACAAAGAAATATGTGGAAGGAAACGTTTCTGGATAGAGACACTGTGTGTGGCATGAAAGAGGATTGAATACATAAGGGCTTCATTAAATTCCCAATAGATAACATTTGGCTAAATCTATCCCTAGATTAAAACTCCGCATAATAGCACCATAAACTAAAAAGTTTCTTTTTGTGTGGTCCTTCTGGAGGAACTGACTGAAACATTAGCCCCCTTATAGAGCAATCCCCTCCTAATTCACATCCAGTAATTCGTGTCTCAGCCCTACGGGGATATGATGAGCAAGGAAACGGGTTAATGAATCCACACTTTTTCCGCTGGGAGGAGGCGAAGGAGGCGACACTATACTCCTTGTCCTACCAAACTGTTTATTGGGGCCCGGACTATTTTGGAGGAATTGTTCGTCCGGGCTAGGTCCTTGCGAGGACTACACGTCCTCTCTCTCAGCCTTGAAAGCCGTGGAGACCACGGTGGGCCATTAGCATGCGAATGAGGCGCTGCGGCCCGGCGGTGCTGCGAGCTCATCAAAAGTCTGCGGGGCCGGCGCCTTTTCTGGCGGCACCTGCTCCGGGGCAGCGGCTTGGGAACAGGGACCGCCGGAACCGAGGCCGAGGACGGGGCGGCTTCCCCGTCGACTCGAGGAGAACAGGCGAAAAGGTCCTCCACCAACGCCACAAACCTCTTCCCCGATCCCCTTTTCCTTAAAGGGAAAAAAAAATCTACACCACGTACTGCAAATTGTTCCTGCCAGCTTCCCTACCAGCTCTCAGGGGAAGGCCCTGTCCGTATGGGATGAAGGCAACCGGCGGAGAGCGTGGAAGAAACAGGCGGCCAAGCAGTTTGCTTGCCATGCACCTCCGAGAAGACCTGAGGGACAGGCAGCGGGCACGCTCGACCCCGCGGCCCGCCGGGCCGGGCCCGGCTCCGCGCAGGGGAGTCGCTGGGCTCCCCAGAGTCTGCTGCGGGGAAGCCAACAGAAAAAAACACAGAGTGGGTCGCTGGTATCTACTCTTCCCATGTAACTGCTCGTGGAGAGTGCGAGGACTCAAGAAGCCGGAATACAGACTGACTGACGGCCAGCAGCGTCCCTTCCCGGGGAGCCGGGCATCGCCGATCTCGGTTGCTACAGCTGCCTTCACCCCGGCAAAACCTTTTCCTGCTTGATTTTATCTGACTGTCCGAGGGGGGCCTCTGCCGAGCTCGGAACCCCGCGCTGGACCGGCCGTAGGCCCGGCGCATCCCCCCGGTCAGTCTCGGAGAAAGCGAGTTAATCGGTCTCTCGTGAAAAAGACGCGCTATCCCCGGTACATACACGGTGCCTCTGGGGTATTTTCCCTTTAGTTTTAAAAATTAAAACGGACTCTACTTCGTCTTCTAATGGACTCGGGACACCCAAAGGAGTCTTCCAGTTGCAGACTGCAAATGGAGCCGAGCAGAGATCTTACGTCCACTCTTTCTGCTTTTTCAAAGCTAATTTAACACTGCCTTGCTACAAAACAAACAGAAAAGCGTCACTTTTCTATCTACGAAAACACTTAAAGCCAAGGCGACGAAGTATTTCGATATGTAAATGCATGTATTTACCCCACCTTTCCCTCCTCGCTTCAAAGAGCACTAAAAGGCATCCCTACCTTTTATAATTCTTTTTATTAAGAAAATTCACATAATTGATCCCCGAGTCTCCTCAATTGTTATAAATACAGTCGTACTTGAAAAGAGCCTCCCTGGTTTGAAAACCGTGTATTCTTAGTCCACAACAAGTAACCACATAGCTACTCTTAAAATCTTATGTTTCTCTTTTCCATGCCCAAGTTCTGAATATTTGAGGCCGGCTTTGTGGTTAAAAAATTTCTAGTCCGTAAAATAGATATTGACATTACGCTGTTAAAAACGAGTGTTTGGAATCAGAAAAACTGCTTTCACGGTTTGTTCCATATACTTATATATCATTAATTCGACAGCTTATACACTTAATCAACTCATCACACAAGGATATTCCAAAGCTCATTTTATATTATATGTATTGAAAAGTAGAATCACTGGCCACCGTTATCATCACAGAAATATAAGTGTCTAGGGCAAATCTGTCTTAAGTTCAGTACGTGCCTCTCAGTAGTAGTATTTTCCTTTGGGCCTCTTGGAAACAAAACTGTGATGCAGTTGTGATTTAAAACACACCCAAAAGTATAAAAATAGTTTTAAACCGGCTTTTTAATCAATCCCCTGATTGGTGCCTTAAAGAGAGACCTATTTCTATTTATCCTCTCTTTTGTCCCTGATGTTTTTTGTAGTCTTTTGTTTAGGGTTTTTGTTTTTGTTTATTTGTTTTGTGTTGGGGTGGGTTTTTTGTTTGTGTTTTTTGTTTGTTTTTTTTTTTTTCTTTGGGGGGGAGTTGTCTGTCATTCTCTGCTAGGGCTAACAACGCATTGACTGCAAAGACCATATTCTGATCTTCTTCTTTATGATTAAATCCGGATGTAATGAATTTCAAGCTATAATATTCCTTGACTATTGTGCTATTAATCCCGAAGAAAAAAATTATCAGTGTCTCAAAGAAATGAGAAATATTAAGGAGGGAAGGATCCAAAGCCAATTATTTGGCTGGAATCCTTTGGTCTTTGGGTTTGGTTTTGATTTTTTTTTTTAAAATTAAGATTTTTATTTTTGAAAATGTGTAAAAATTTTACATTAAAATGGTACAATACTTGCCAGTAATTTTTAACAATATTCCTTGTAAAGAATAAGCATAAAGTACAAAATAAAAAACTCCGTAAGTCTATTATAATACAAAACACAGGTTAAAATAAGAAATGATAATCTTGACTTTCTTCTGTGTAAACACGTTAATCTTTTCTTTTATAAAAGTACATGAGACAAGTGTACCAAAATGAAAAAGTATTGCTCTGCTGTCCTCCCTCAAGCCTTTTTTTTCCTGTACATTACTGTTTTCAAGCTCCTAGACCTGAGAATCTCTGAACTTTAACGGTTTAGAGACATTATTTATCACCTTTTTTTTTTTTTTTTTACTTTTTAAGGAGTAACGAATAACTTTCCGATGTAGTTACCGCCTGCCCGTGCAGTATCTAGATCTAGACCTGGCTTTGCACTCGTGCAGGTCCCGGGAGGTCCGCCGCTCGCGGCGGACGCCCCCCGATCCCCGTCACAATATCCCCACGCAAAGACAGGCAGCCCCTGCGAGCGGCGTCCGCCGGGCGTCCGAGCGGCGGAGAAAGGAGATACCCCAGATCCTACCTTCGGAAAGACTCCCAAACACTTAACAGTTAGAGATCCGTGCCGCGAAGCCGGGGGCGGCGGGCAGGGCGGCGGCGGGGGGCACGCCGCCCCCGGCGCTCCCCAGCGAGCGGGCCAGCCCCGGTGCCGCGGCCGACTGCGAGGCGCAGCTGCTGCCCGCGCCGGGGCCGGGCCCCCCCCCGATGATGCTCTCGATGGAGAACGGCGAGCGGGCCAGCGCCGCGCCGCTGCCGGGCTTGGCAGAGTGCAGCGAGGCCGCCAGCGCCGTGCCTAGCGGGTGCGCGTAGCCGAAGGGCGTCCGTGCCAGCTCCGCCGCCGGCAGCAAGGGGCCCGGCGGCGCGGCGGCGGCGGGGGGCAGCGCCGCACCGGGGGCGCTGCCAGGGGCGGCGGGCGGTTGGCGGGGCGGCGGGGAGGGGTGGTGGAAGGCGAAGAGAGTGGAGTGGGGGTGGTAGGGCTGGAGCTGGAGACCGTAGCCGCATCCGTAGGGTCCGTAGGTGCAGGGTGGCTGCTGCGGAGGCTGAGGCGGGGGCTGCGGGAGGAAGGCGGCGGGGTCCACGGCGCGCAGTAGAAGCTCGGGAGCCGGGAGCTGCTGCCTCTTGAAGCGCTTTCGGCGGCGCAGGAAGCTCCCGTTGTCGAACATGTCGGCAGATTCGGGGTCCAGCGTCCAGTAGTTGCCTTTGCCAGGATTGCCGGGCTCCCGGGGAATCTTGACGAAGCAGTCGTTGAGGGAGAGGTTGTGGCGGATGCTGTTCTGCCAGGCGGGGAACTTCTCTCGGTAGTAGGGGAAGCGCCCGCTGATGAACTCGCAGATCTCACTCAGCGTCAGCCTCTTCTTGGGGCTCTGCAGGATGGCCATGGTGATGAGGGCGATGTAGGAGTAGGGCGGTTTCACTAAGCTGTTCTTACCACCGCCGCCCGCCCCACCGCCGCCGCCCGCCCCGCCGCCGCTCGCCGTCGCCTTCTGGGGGCCACCCCGCGAGGGGGGCCGAGAGCCGCCGGCACCGTCCCCGCCGCCCGCCCCGCCGCCGCCACCTCCGCCGCGCACGGACGATCGCGGCAGCAGGGCGGCGTCGTGGAGGTCGCCCACATCCTCCTCGTCCTCTTCCTCCTCCTCCTCCTCCTCGTCCTCGGCGTAGGAGCGGCGGCGACGGCGGGTCTGCGGCTCCTCGTCGTCCTCCTCGTCGTCCTCCTCGCCCACCACATCGATGTCGGTCTCCTCAGCCAGCGCCGACGCCTCGGACATCTCCGAGCTCAGGGTCATGGCGCGGCGGCGGGGCAGCGCATCGGTGGCGGCCGGCGCGGCGCGGCGGGCGGGCAGGCGTTCTCCCCGCCGCCGCCAGGCCTCCGCGTCGCTCCGCGAAGAGCCGCCCCGCCGCCGCCACGGGCAGGCGGGCCGCTCCGAGCCGCGCCGGCCCCCAGTGCCGCTGCCGCTCCTCGGGAGCGCTCCCGCCGCTCGCTCACAGGCGGCGGTTGGCTTGGGTTTTGTTTCGGGGTATTTTTTGCTGCTGTTTGGATTTCTCTGTCTGTCTCTCTCTCTCTTTTTTCCCTCCCCTCCCCCTTTTTGAGGATCCTTCTCAGCTTTTTTTCCGTTGGGGTCGGGGTTTGTGGGCGCAGAGGGACTGTGCCGCCGCTCCTGCAAGTCGGTTCCCCCTTCTTTCTCCTCACCTCAAAGCCCAGACATTAATGGATGGGGGGCAGGAGGGAGTGCGCCTAGTCCTGGGAGGAGGAGAGGGGAGGAGGCTGGCGAGGAGGGAGGGCGTAGGGGGTGGCTTGCCAGGCCTTAGGAAACACGGTGAAAAGGCTGGGGCTTAGTCCCAGAGAGGGCGGCCTTCCCCGCCTTATAGCGGGGGGGGCCATCACATGGCTCCCAGCGTCAAAGCGCGACGGGGCGAGCGGCGCCGTGTCTCCCCCCACGAAGAGGGGCGCCTCGCGACCGTCCCGGCCCCCTGTCCTCACCCCGTCTAGGAGGGGCTCTGGGGGGCCGCGGGGCGACCAGGGCCATCTTTAGTGGAAAAGGGGGGAAATAAAGATAACATATGACCCCTGCGGGGATGGGGATGGGGGGGGGGGGGACACTGCAACTCTGTCAGAAAGAGCTAGAGCATCTTTCCAGAGCCGTTCGGAGCTCCGCGTCTTCCAGGGCTGCCCTCCGAGATGGGGTGCCGCTTCCCGTGGGAAGGAGAAAAAAAAATCAGGCCGGAGAGCGAGGTGGTGAGTTAATAAACTTCAGACTTCTGTCCGCGGAATGCTTTAGAGACATCTCTCTCCCTTCCTCTCCTCCTTCCCCCATCCAGGGTTTAACTTATTTAAGAATTAAATAAAATATCTCTCCAAGTCGACCTCACAAGTTCTCAAAGAACAGCCTCCAAATCACACCGCTATTCTCAGTTTGTCAGGCCGTTGTTTTTAAAGGGAGAGAAGCAGCTTTCTCCATTATGGAAAACACTAACAGAGACTTAGCTTACTTCTTTCGTCTGCAGAGGAAAACAATTCGCCGGCCTTTAAAATGCGAATTTTGCTCTAAGCAGGAGCAACACTCCTAAGAAAGTAACACAGAGGATTGTTAATTAATTGCTAATTAAGTCGCACGGGTTCCCGTTTCAGGTGATCCATGCGACGACAGAAGAGCGGGCCCCCTTTATGTAAGGGCTAGCAGGGGAAAAAACAACCAAAACCCCCACCAAAGAACCCAAACAAAACAAAACTCCCACAAACTTGGAGAGAAATGCAATTACTGTAGTCTTCAAAAGAAAAGCTTTGAAAAATCCCATCGTTCCCAGTTCTGGCGGGATAAACCACAATAGGATTCGATTGGGATAAAAGTAAGGGAGCATTTCGTTCTCCTGCAGAAATCATCGTGAGAAGGGTGGGCTGATGCATAGAGTCTAACGGATCAAATCTCACTTTTCAAACAAAGCACAAAACCTATTTCTTGAAATACGTTTTGGATATATTGTCTTAACCCAAAATTACAAGCCACCCTGTTTCAAACCCATTTCCATGGATTTACAACATAATCCCTTCTACTATTTCCAAATAATCCTATTTACATTTTGTTCACTACTAAGACGCCTACAGGAGAATACCACCAAATGTTACAAAACAGGGGGAAAAAAAAGTAAAAGGGAAAAAAAAGGAAAAAAAAAGTACCCCCAGTAATTGACTACCATTTTTTTTTCTGTAGAAAAAGTGATGTCAATAGAGATTTACAGTTCATAAAGTTCATAAAATGCCTCTTCGAACTAGTTTTGAGGTCTTAGGGCAAGCTACTAAAAGAAAGGCAGACAGAGGATTTTTCCTCTTCAAAAGGTTACTTCTCTTGACGAAAAGTTAGTATTTTTCCTTTTTACTCCTTCCCCCCCCCCCTTTTATTCTTCGTCTTCTCCCAGGCTGGAGTTTAAAAACCATCTTAAAAACAAAAAAAACAGCCTCCGAAGTATGAAGAACGGCGGAGTTTAAATGTTGCATGGGGAAGAACCGCTGTAGCGACAAACCAAAAGAACCGGGTCTGCCCTCGGTCCTCTGTTATCACCCACGCAGGATGCACGGGTGTTTCACTGAGCGAGTCACAGCGGTGGTTCTTCGGTAGCACCGGGTCCCCAGGGGCCCCGGTTGGGTGTGGTTCCTCCTGAACGTGGCCGACGGGGGTGGCCTCGGAGGGTGATGGTGGGTACCACCCTTGAAAGACCTGGGCAGTAGTCCCAAACCCTTGCCTATCGGTGCAGGGTGTGTGGTGTGTGTGTGTGGGGCTGCTCAGGGGATTCTTTTCTAGGGATCAGTTGAGCCAGCCTCCAGCCTCCAGTGTGGACAATTAAGATCCCGTGTTAATACAGCTCCTGATCGCGACTTGTCTTTGAGCATCTTCCAGTCGCTCCCGTCCCAACCTGGCAGGTGCCGTCTTAAAAGAGCAAGAAAGAAAAGAGAGAAGGCGAGCAGCGGCGGTACAACTATGGGTGGCATTTCCCGTGGTAAGACCCGCCGCTCTCGGGGCCGCGGGCTTTGCCCTGTCCCCCACCTCGCGGCCGGTCCCGCTCCGCGCCGCTCCGCGCCGCTCCGCGCCCCTCCGCTCCCGGCGCTGCTCTGCCCGGACGGTGGATGCCATCTACCGGCAAGGAGCGCCGGTTGCGGTACGCTGTGCGCCGGGGCTGGGACGTGTGCCCAAAGCAGCCCCCAGGAAGGGCAGGGTCGGGCAGAAACCCCGCATTCAGGTACTGAGTGGGACCCCGAGAACCCTAAGGAAAAAGAAGCATTTTGGAGGGGCCCTGAGAACACCCCCCTCAATGGAATGGCTGGAACTTCCACGACCACCTTCCCACCTCCACCCTGGGGCTCTCTGTCCACACACCCAACCTTGAAAGGACCACCCGTGGCCCAGGACCTCGGGGGCTGCCCTCCGTGGCTTCCTGCTGGTTGTGAATGATGTAATGTTACATGCACTTAAAACCACAGTAGCACACTAGCCAGACCAGGAGTATTCTGGTTCACATGGTATGTCCAGGGACACTGGGCAGAAGCCAGACTGGGTGGACCTGCCATGACTTCCTCTTGATGTCTCCTTTATTATGGGAGACAGTATCCCTTGGGACCCCCATAGCATTCCAGGCCACACACCTTTCTGCAGCTAGGGGGCCTGTTTCCAAGAAGGACACACAGGAGCCCATGATGGGACAAGGAATAAATGAGCCCATATATCTTCCCTGGTCTTTTATTCAAAATCAAAGAGCACCCCAGGCACCATTTAGGGCATTTTCAAGCAACCATACTTGCACACTGACACACTGGCTGAGGTCCTTCAAGTTTTCTAGAACTGATCCTGACCATGCAGAAGGATGCCAAAGGCTTCTTCATCACCACATGAGTCAGGTGTCTGGTGGTGGTGTGCAGCCCTGGACGATATGTTGAGCGCTTGTCTGGGTGCAGCCAGTAGAAATCAAGCTAGAGCCTGGCCACTAGTGACACATACTGGAGCTGAAGTCTCTCCTGGGCCATCTCAGCCTTGAAAGTCTTCAAAACCAAAGGCTGCAGTTCTCCACACCCAGATCCATGTCTTACCTGCAGAACTAGACTTCCTGATATTATATAAATAATAATTTCTTTAATAATTTACTTTTTCTGTCTTGGGCCAAAGATTGGACTGAATTCTGAGCTGCTTGTGTCATGGAAAGAATAAATCTCCAGTGATGCCCTTGCAAGAATGGTTTTATCTGTCACAGGGACAATGGCAGTGACAGCTGTGGTTTTCTTTGCCCATTATAACAGTGATCCATTTTAGCTCCACTTTTTTAGGGGTTTACACCCCTCTTCCCTTACCATGTAGCTTTGGGGAAGGTAACACTTTCTTTAAGGCTTCTGCAGAGGCTAGGATTAGAGTCTCTGTGTGACCACAATGCATTGGTGAGGGTTGGCAGCAGTCACCTGAAAAACTGAAGAAAAATCTGTGGCTTCCAGCCATGCCTAGTACTGAAAAAGAGTTTGTCACCCTTGGAGATGACCCACCCCCCCTCCTCTTGTCAAACATATTTTTCTTCTTGACCAAGTTTGTTTGTTTGCTTGGTTGGTTGGTTTTTTATTTGAATTTGGTTTTTGGTTTTTGTTTTCCCTCCTTAGTTCTACAATTCTTATCGGTTGGTACATTTGCTTTGACAAGTGAAAGTCACTTCCTTTCAGGTCCTTTGGGCTTTTAATTTCTTTTAAAATGTGTTTTAATGTTCTCACAACCCTTTTGAACTTAAGGAGAGTTTTCACCAGTTTAGACCAAGACCAGTGTAGCAGCATAAGCTGACTTCAACATCAGTCAAGACCAGATGTCTAGGGAAGAATATAGGAGCAGAGCAAATGTGTAAAATTGATTCCTACTTCCAGAAATCTAGTTTTTAGATTTGGGGTTTTTTTAAGCAAGAGATAATAGCTGAATTTAATAGCCTCTGATGGAGTTTATTCTGTGAATTGGTCCGGTCATCTTTTGAAATCATGTACTTTTACACCACTAAACATATTCTGTGGTGGAATGTTCCCCAGCTCTAACCATGTGTGGTATGAAGTGTCTCTTTTCATTTGCTTTAAGCAAGTCATCTGTTCATTTAATCTAATGTGCTCTCATTTTTGTACTAGAAGACAGAAGGAACAACTGTTGTTAAACACCCTCTCCCTGCTGTTCACGACTTTGTACGTTTTATGACAATTTTTTTCATTGGTTATCTCTTTTTCAGACTGAAGGGTTCTGCTTCAGAATCAATGGATTAGCACAGAAGTAATTCCATACTCCTGACAATCCTTATAA